TGTTGACCTAGCTCGTTTCAATGGCTACAATAGAGATAACATTTTCTGCCATGAAACATGTGAAAACTTATTTACGCAACAAAAAGAGCGATGAATTTCTCGCTGATTGTTTAACTATTTTCTTTGAGATAGATTATGTTATTGATGGATGAAGACTCCATGATTTGATGAATTCGCTAAATTAAAAATACCGTCATGTACAATTGACATTGTAATGAAAACTATAGTCATAATTTATTTTTTGTTTACGATATCTAATTTTCTATTTAAATGCGGCCCAGTGCTCTAATATATCCTGTTCAAACTGCTTCATCACCTGATGATGTTAAGCTATCCAGATCTGAGTATGACAAACTTATGGCTTTAGTCCAATCTCAGAAGGCTTCTTCTTCCTTTTCTGGTGCTGCATACATACAACCATCAGGTACCAGTTCTGCACTTTCTTCACTCAAACCTTTCAAGGATGATTCTCCTTGTTTTCAACCACGTTGGATTGTTGATACAGGTGCCTCAGAACACATAGTTTGTTCATTACATTACCTTACAGACCCCACTCCCTTGACCATTGTTTACATTACTCTACCTACTGGCCATAAGGTTCAGGCAACTCATTCTGGCACAGTTATTTGTCATGATGAGCTAGACTTAAACAATGCCCTGTTTGTTCCTCACTTCACATTCAATCTCATCTCTGTCAGCAGGTTAACCTCCACAAATTCCCTCTGTTTAACCTTTCATTCCACCCTTTGTCTTATACAGGATCTGAAGCAGACGAGAATGATTGGTTCTGCTAGACTCTACAATGGTCTCTACTACCTAGAAGACTCTCTAATTCCAAAATTTGTATCAGCTGCTTCAACTTCCCTTTTTGATCTTTGGCATTTTAGACTAGGACATGTCTCCCAATCTAAAATTCCACTCATCAAACAGTTTTGTACCTCCATTGAAACTCAGAAGCACCTACCTTGTGATGTCTGTCATTTTGCTAAGCAGAAAAGACTGCCTTTTCCTTCCAATCAATCTGTAACTGATTCTCCTTTCCAACTTCTTCATGTTGACATTTGGGGTCCCAACCCTGTTCCAACTTATGATGGCTTCAAGTATTTCCTCACTGTGGTAGATGATTGTTCTAGGATGACTTGGATTATTCTGCTTCAATTAAAGTTAGAAGCCAGACCAAAACTGATTTCATTCTATACTCAAATGGAGAGACAATTCAATACCTCCATTAAAACAATCAGGAGTGATCAAGGAAAATAATTCAATATGCAAGATTTTTTCAATTCCACAGGCATAACTCATGAAATGTCCTGTGTGGAAACACCACAGCAAAACAGTAAGGTTGAGAGAAAACACCAGCATATCCTAGCAGTTGCTAGAGCCCTTCAATTTCAAGCAAACCTACATCCTTCCTTCTGGGGCGATTGTGTGAAACATGCAGTGTTCCTCATTAATAGAGTCCCCTCACCTATCCTTTCTAACCAAACCCCCTTCTACATACTTCATCAAAAACCTCCTAACCTCTCTGAGCTAAGAGTATTTGGCTGCCTATGCTATGCCAGTACTCTTGCTAACCACAGAACCAAGTTCCAACCTCGTGCCAGAAAATCAATATTCATTGGCTTTACTCCTGGCATCAAAGGTTACAAACTCTATGACCTCTCTACCCATGGCACTTTTGTCTCTAGAGATGTCATTTTCTATGAATCTCATTTTCCCTACCAGTCCAACTTGCCAGATGCTCATACTTCCTCTTCTAATGACCTTTTCTATCCTCTTCCTTCTTCCACCTCTCCTTTACTCCATGATGATTCCTCTCCTGTTCCTACTGATGTCCTACCACCTACACCAGCACCATCTCCACAATCTACATTATCTTCTCCACCATCTAGTCCCTCCTCATCTGATCATTGCCCACCATCTCCACCTCCTTCTCCTTCCCCTCTAGCACCACCTCCTTCCCCACCACCACCTAATCCTGTTAGAAAATCAGAAAGAGTTCACAAAATACCTTCTCATCTAGTCCAAAACTATCACTGTTTTCATTCACAGGGTCCTAGCAGCATCAATCATTCAACTCTGCAACAGATCAAAAACAAAAGGTATTCTTTCTCCTCTATGCTATCTTATGACAAGTTAACCCCATCCTTCAAAAAATTCTTGTTCAACATCTCAGCCACTAGAGAACCTCAGTCATACAAAAAGGCTTCTCAGATTGATGTTTGGAATCAAGCTATGCAGCATGAGATCCAAGCACTCATCAAAAACCACGCCTAGGATGTGGTTTCTCTTCCCAAAGGTAAAAAACTAGTTGGCAACAAGTGGGTCTACAAAGACAAATTCCTCTCTGATGGTTCTCTTGAAAGAAGTCTACATGACTCTCCCCAAAAGGCTTTGTTCCTCCACCAGACATTCGCAACCCTGTCTGTCGTTTAAGGAAGTCACTTTATGGATTAAAGCAGGCCTCCAGACAGTGGTTTTCTAAACTGACAGACACCCTGATTATAGTTGGTTATGTCCAAAGCAAGGCTGATCATTCACTTTTCTACAAGGCAACAGACACCAGCTACACTTGTATACTGATTTATGTAGATGATCTAGTCTTGGGGGGGGGGGGGGGGGGGAAATGATCTTTCAGAAATCACTGCACTCCAAGAGGTTTTGGATAAAGAGTTAAGCATTAAAGATTTGGGAAATCTGAAATTCTTCCTTGGAATTGAAGTGGCAAGAAGCACAACAGGTATTCATTTATCTCAAAGGAAATACACTCTTGAAATCATTGAACAAGCAAATGTTATGGACAACAAATCTGTCTCAACACCTATGGACTACAAAGTTCATCTTAGCAATGACCCTGATTCACTCTTTGAAGACCCTGCGTTATACAGAACTTTAGTTGGGAAACTAGTCTATCTCACAACAACACTTCCAGACATCAGCTATGCTACGCAACAGCTGAGCCAGTTCATGTCTTCGCCCACAGATGTCCATTATAAGGCTGTTCTTCGAGTAATTCGTTACCTCAAATCAGCTCCAGCAACAGGCTTGTTCTTCCCATCCAAAGGCAGTTTTCAATTGAAGGCCTTCACTGATTCTGACTGGGCCGCCTGTGTTGAAACAAGGAGGTCAACCACTGGTTTCTGCATCTATTTAGGTGATTCCCTGATCTCCTGGAAAACCAAAAAACAACATACAGTCTCAAGATCTTCCTGTGAAGCTGAATACAAGGCACATGCATATACATCTTGCGAAATTCAGTGGTTGCAATACCTGCTTCAAGACTTCAAAGCCTCCTCTGCGTCACCTGCAACCCTCTATTGCGACAATCAGAGCGCAATTTACATTGCCAAGAACCCGACATTCCATGAGAGAACAAAACATATAGAACTTGACTACCATTTTGTCCGCGAAAAATTGCAATCTGGGCGCCTCAAGCTTCTCCACATCTCTTCCAATCACCAACTGGTAGATCTCTTCACAAAGCCTCTGTCACCAGCTCCATTTACTTCTTTGATTTCCAAGCTTGGTGTGCGAAATCTCTGCCCACCAGCTTCCTGGGGGGGGGGGGGTATCAGATTGAAAATCCAGTTTTTCCCTCGTCTCCAACGGTCAGATTCTTGGACGATGACGTTTCCATCTTCTCGCTGCACTTCCTCGCTGCGCCACCGTTTCGACTTGTCCACTGCACAACCGTTTAGTTTCGAGTCTCATACGATGTCGTTCTTACCTTCCGTTTATGTGTGTACTTTCTTTTCCGTCAAGTTTTGTTTGTTTCCCTTCCAAGCTTCCAAACAAGCTGTAATGGAGCTTGTCTCCTTCACTTCTGTATCACCTATATAAGGCAGACAAAGCAATGAGAAAAGACAGGATTCTAGGGTTTTCGGTTCCACGAACTCTTCTTTGTTAATGCCTAATTCGTATCAAGGACTGACGAATCGGTACTAGAAGCTTCGGAGTGCCTATGCCATACAAACGTTTGTGATACTTATCCTAGCTAGAAATTGAACATGCATACGGGTGATAAACTACAAAATCCATATCGTAAATTGTTAGCATACGAGCATTCGCTGCTCTCATACTACAAATTAAATTTATGAATTCATAATAGTAGAAAACCAATACCTGCAATCGTCTAATTTGTAGACCAGATATAATGCTTTCCCAAATCAATAATAGGCCAAATCTGATTCATCATAATTCAACAAACAAATTAAACAACAAACCTTTCGAAAAACTCGATAATAATTTGTGATAAACTATGTTGTCATGACCTAGGAAAAAGAACAATCAGTTTTTGCTCAGATCCCACTTTCTTAAAGCTAGTTGAAGAAAAATCAAAATATAAGAAATATGAAGATATAAATTTTAGATAGAATGGACCAAGAAATCGGCAGGGCATGGAATCGGAGTAGATACTCATACTTCGCGCTCCACGCTACTGCGGGTCGGGTAATACACATCCCATCACGAGTCAGATCAGGTAATGCCCACGGGTTCAAATTATCCTCCCTAATTTTGATAAGATCTCTTATTCAGCTTGAGTTTCTCTCACACTCGGTTAGAGTGCAATTTATACATAGGGAAAACCCTAGGCTCATAACACGGCAACTAGCTAGCTAAGTCTCTGCATGCATGGGCTACGAATCCTAATACACCACACTTAAGAAAACCGATAACCGGGTTTTCGGTTTTCGGTTAAACCGAAACCGATCGATTGCCACCTCTATACGTAGCCAGCTCGGATAAGAAAGTGGTACTTAATTTGTTTCCGACGATTAAAAGGTTTTCCTAATCCTAGTCGAGCAAGGCTATCTCATCAGGCCCACTCCTCCCCTATATAAACACGCCAATCTCCTCCAGCTAGCGTAAAAAAGGAAACAAACAACAAAGTTCCCTTTTCCTTCAACTCTACCAAATTCTCGTTAATCATGATGTTGACGAGTGTCGCGAAGGTGCCGGCCGCCAGAAGCAGCAGCAGAAGTCGGGGAAAGTTTGAAGCAATGATCACCGGCTTCTTCCGAGGCGGTGGGGGCTGGAGGAACGGTTCTACGTGCGAGAGGGCGGTGACGGAGCTGCAAAGCCGACTGAGAAACCTGAAGAAAGAGAGGGAAAAGCGGGTCCAGGACCGTACCGGCAGAATAGCTCGGTTCGTAGACGATGGGGACGTGGGTGCGGCCTTCGTGGCGGCGGAGCAGATAGTGAGGGAGGAGAACGCGATCCGGATCCTCGAGTTGCTGTACCATTCGTGCGAGGTCGTCAAGGCCAATCTCACCTACATCCGCCGCCACGTGGACTGCCCTAGGGAGATCAACAAGGCGGTATCCACGCTGGCTTTCGCCGCCCCACGTTGTCCCGATCTCCTCGAGCTTTGGATCCTTCGACAGCTCTTCTTCGAGCGTTACAGCGAGTTCCACGACGTCGCGGCGGCGGATGCGGCGAGTCTCGAGGGTTTCCGAGGAAGTTTCGTTGACTCGGAAGTGGCGGAGAGGCTGGAGTCGAGGCATGCTAGGGTTCCTTATCCTACCACGCTTGCAAAGGTTTGTGCGATACTTCACAAGGACGTTGGAGCTCGACGACGAGGAATTAGTACCACTGGATCCTGAAGATTTGCAGCAGTAGTACTATAGTAGTGCCTATTTAGTTTTGGAGAAGTTATTGTAAATGGTTTAGAGAGGGAAAAACATTTGAACAAAGTAGTAGTGTAATTTGGGGTTTCGTTAATTTGAATCATTATACTGAAAAGGTTAATCAAATGTTGGGCTTCTTTACGTCGTGTGGACGACACTTTCTTAGTGCATGTTGTTGCTAAACACATTTTCTTAGTTCGTAATATATATACATATTTTAAGTAATGTATGTTAAACCATACAGTATTGACAATCTGACTAGACAATATGCTTATCAAAACCCAAAACGTTATAACATTTTATAGATATAAAATAGTTTTTATTTTTACAAGTCTATATAAAATGGTTTCGTTCAAAGTTAAATAACGATTTAAACACACAATACATTATCACTGATATATTTGGTTCATAGTATCTCGCGGTGTTTGATTTTAAGTCATTGTCCAGAGATAACATCCATAGGACTATTCTGAATTGTAACTAAAGGGTAATTTGGAGAATGAGATGTTGGAGAAAACATATGTATTTCCTTTGAATTTTGAATGAGGTTACGGAAAAAAAAATGGTTGATAGAGGAAATTGATGAGAGTGAACGGGTTCTTGAAACTGACCCGCAGAAATCACAACGCGCTCGACAAGCATGCAACGGAAAGCCCAACAAAAGGTCCAGCCCATAACTATCGTAAATAAAGTCCGGCCCATAACTCATCTACACATCCTCCAATAATATATAGCACACTTTTATGTACTTTTCTCCATTTTAATTTTCTTACTCTCTCCTTAATTTTAGGTAGTGGTGTAATGGTAATTAAGGAAGTTACTAATTAAAAAAATGTTAATATAAAAAAGTATGTTCCTGATATGATCCATTTTTACCCACCTTGCAAGCCACAATTGCTAGAGCAAGAAGCAAGTTAAATTGGCAAAAAAAACATCAAATGCGACTAAGTGTTTGTTCATGTGCAGGATACTCACTTTGCAAGGGTGATTCTCTTCAATGCTTCATTGAAAATGGACAAAGGAAGGCTTGTCTTAAAGCTTGGGAGTTCCTCTACAAGATGGAGTGCTTTGGAGTTCAAGGTGAAGCCAGAAGAGTGGTTTTTAATGCCTCTCACAAGGCTAGGTCGAAATTGGAAGTTTGCCAGAAAACGGTTAAGTGTCAAAGTCAGTTCGTAATTTTTTGGGCGACGAAATGCCATTTCCTATGGATTTTGAATTCTATAGATCACGGATTCGGCCTGAGACTATTCTTCAAATATGATTAAGTCCATTAAGCATCGATTTGGGCGGATTTATTCCGGGTCAATTTTTGGACGATTCCAAAGGGGTACAAAGACAGATTTCGGGCGATTTTTCCGAAATGCCATTTTCTTTCGATTCTGGAGGCTGCAGATCACGGAATCAGGCCGAGGCTATTCTCCACCGATAATGAAGTCTACTGATCCTATTCTCAAAAGATGATAAGTCCATTAAGCACCGATTTGGGCAAAATAATTTTCGGATGGCATTTTCTTAATTTTTATGTCGACGAAAGACCATTTTCTTTGGATTTTGAAGGCTACAAATCACGGATTCGACCTGAGGCTATTTTTCAACGATGATTAAGTTCATTAAGCATCAATTTGGGCGGATTTATTCCAGGTGAATTTTTAGCAGATTCCAAAGGGGTACCACCACAGATATCGGGTGCTTTTTCCGAAATGCAATTTTCTTTCGATTCTGAATGCTGCAGAACACACAATCAGGCCGAGGCTATTCTCCACCGATAATGAAGTCTATTGATCCTATTCTCCACAGATAATAAGTCTATTAAGCACCGAATTGGGCCAATTTATTTTCGGATGACATTTTTGTAATTTTCATGTCAACGAAAGGCCATTTTCTTTTGATTTTGAAGGATACAGATCACGGATTCAGCCTGAGGTTATTCTTCAACGATGATTAAGTCCATTAAGCACCAATTTGGGCGAATTTATTTCGGGACAATTTTTGGCAGATTCCAAAGGGGTACCATCACATATTTCGGGCGATATTTCCGAAATGCCATTTTCTTTCGGTTCTGGAGGCTGCAGAGCACGGAATCAGGCCGAGCCTATTCTCCACCAACAATGAAGTCTATTGACCCTATTCTCCATGCATGATAAGTCCATTAAGCATCGATTTGGGCTAATATATTTTCGGATGGCATTTTCGTAATATTTATGTCGGCGAAATGCCATTTTCCTTTAATTTTGAAGGCTACAGATCATGGATTCGGCCTGAGGTTATTCTTCAACGATGATTAAGTGCATTAAGCACCGATTTGGGCGAATTTAATTCGGGTCAATTTTTGACAGATTCCAAAGGGGTACCATCACAGATTTCAGGAGATTTTTCCGAAATACCATTTTCTTTCGATTCTACAGGCTGCAGATCACGGAATCAGGCTGAGGCTATTCTCCACCGATAATGAACTCTATTGATCCTATTCTCCACTGATGATGAATCCATTAAGAATCGATTGAGCCAATTTATTTTCGGATGGCATTTTCGTAATTTTTGGGCGACGAAAAGACATTTTCTTTCGATTTTGAAGGCTACAGATCTTGGATTCGGCCTGAGGCTATTCTTTAACGATGATTAAGTCATTTAAGCACCAATTTGTGCGGATTTATTTTGGGTCAATTTTTGGCAGATTCCAAAAGGCATCACAGATTTCAGGCGATATTTTCGAAACGCCATTTTCTTTCGATTTTTGGAGGCTGCAGATCAAGGAATCAGGCCGAGGCAATTCTCCACCTATAATGTAGTCTACTAATCCTATTCTCATGGGATGATAAGTCCATTAAGCACCGATTTTGGCAAAATAATTTTCGAATGGCATTTTCTTAATTTTTATGTCGACGAAAGACCATTTTCTTTGGATTTTGAAGGCTACAAATCACGGATTCGCCCTGAGGCTATTTTTCAACGATGATTAAGTTCATTAAGCACCAATTTGGGCAAATTTATTCCCGGTCAATTTTTGGCAGATTCCAAAGGGGTACCATCACAGATTTCGGGCGATATTTCCGAAATTGCATTTTCTTTAGATTCTGGTGGCTGCAGATCACAGAACCAGGTCGAGCCTATTTCCACCGATAATGAAGTCTATTGATACTATTCTCCATGGATGATAGGTCCATTAAGCACCGATTCGGGCCAATTTATTTTCGGATGGCATTTTCGTAATTTTTTTGGCGACGAAAGGCCATTTTCTTTGGATTTTGAAGGCTACAGATCACGGATTCGGCCAGAGGCTATTCTTCAACGATGATTAAGGTCATTAAGTGCCGATTGGGGCGAATTTATTCCGGGGCCATTTTTGGCAGATTCCAAAGGGATACCATCACAGATTTCGGGCAATTTTTCCGAAATGCCATTTTCTTTCGATTCTGGAGGCTGCAGATCACGGAATCAGGCCGAGCCTATATCCACCGATAATGAAGTCTATTGATACTATTCTCCACGGATGATAAGTCCATTAATCACCGATTCGGGCCAATTTATTTTCTGATGGCATTTTCGTAATTTTTTTGTCGACCAAAGGCCTTATTCTTGGGATTTTGAAGGCTACAGATTACGGATTCGGCCAGAGACTATTCTTCAACGATGATTAAGTCCATTAAGTGCCTATTTCGGCCAATTTATTCCTGGCCCATTTTTGGCAGATTCCAAAGGGGTACCATCACAGGTTTCGGGCAATTTTTCCGAAATGCCATTTTCTTTCGATTCTGGAGGCTGCAGATCACGGAATCAGGCCGAGCCTATATCCACCGATAATGAAGTCTATTGATACTATTCTCCATGGATGATAAGTCCATTAAGCATTGATTCAGGCCAATTTATTTTTGGATGGCATTTTCGTAATTTTTTTGGCGACGAAAGGCCATTTTCTTTGGGTTTTGAATGCTACAGATCACGGATTCGGCCTGAGGCTATTCTTCAATGATGACTAAGTCCATTAAGTGCTGATTTGGGCGAATTTATTCTGGGACCATTTTTGGCAGATTCCAAAGGGGTATCATCACAGATTTCAGGCAATTTTTCCGAAATGCCATTTTCTTTCGATTCTGGAGGCTGCAGATCACGGAATCAGGCCGAGCCCATATCCACAGATAATGAAGTCTATTGATACTATTCTCCGCGGATGATAAGTCCATTAAGCAACGGTTCGGGCCAATTTATTTTTCGGATGGCATTTTCGTAATTTTTTTGGCGACGAAAGGCCATTTTCTTTGGATTTTGAATGCTACAGATCACGGATTCGGAATGAGGCTATTCTTCAACGAAGATTAAGTCCATTAAGTGCCGATTTGGGGGAATTTATTCTTGGCCCATTTTTGGCAGATTCCAAAGGGGTACCATCACAGGTTTCGGGCAATTTTTCCGAAATGCCATTTTCTTTCGATTATGGAGGCTGCTGATCACGAAATCAGGCCGAGCCTATATCCACCAATAATGAAGTCTATTGATACTATTCTCCACTGATGATTAGTCCATTAAGCACCGATTCGGGCCAACTTATTTTCGGATGGCATTTTTCGTAATTTTTTTGTCGACGAAAAGGCCATTTTCTTTGGATTTTGAAGGCTACAGATCAAGGATTCGCCCTGAGGCTATTCTTCAATGATGATTAAGTCCATTAATTGCCGATTTGGGCGAATTTATTCCGGGCCCATTTTGGGCAGATTCCAAAGGGGTATCATCACAGATTTCAGGCAATTTTTCCGAAATGCCATTTTCTTTTGATTCTGGAGGCTGCAGATCACGGAATCAAGCCGAGCCCATATCCACCGATAATGAAGTCTATTGATACTATTCTCCACGGATGATAAGTCCATTAAGCAACGGTTCGGGCCAATTTATTTTCGGATGGCATTTTCGTAATTTTTTTGGCGACGAAAGGCCATTTTCTTTGGATTTTGAATGCTACAGATCACGGATTCGGCCTGAGG